ATATTTGTTTGAGTGTTTGTGTGAATGCTTGTGTTTGTGTTGAGTGTTTGTGTGTGATTGAGTGTTTGTGTTTGCGTGTATGTTTGTGTTTTGCTGCATATTTGTGTTTGTTTGTGTGTATGTTTGTGTTGAGTGTTTGTGTGTGTGCGCGTGTATGCGCGTGCATGTGTGTGCGCGTGTATGTGCGTGTGTGTGTGTGTGTGTCTGTGAGAGAGAGAGAGAGAGAGGGTGAGGGTTAGAACAAGAGCCAGAGGAGCTTTTCCTACTTAAACCTCTGGTTGGTCATCATTGCCCCCAAAATAATGTAAGGGATTTATATTTTTATCCATTTCTTTATTTATTCATTAAGCTAAACATTTTTTTTCAATTTATCATAATGTGTGTGTGTGTGCGCGTGCAATCCAGGCGATTTCACCTGATCACACCTTTCACCTTCACCTGATCAAACGCCTTCCGTTTCTTTATCAATGCCGCCAAAAAGTCATTGAAGAATAAGACCCTTGGTGATTTATCAAGTCATGCTCTTGTTTCTCCAAGGTCGCTGTTTTTACATCTACAGATAAAATCAGGGTCTCAACAGCAGCAATCCTCTCTTACGCATCACCAATTCGCTGACTCATTGTTTGAAGTTGAACTGTTAGGTCATGTATTGCTTCCAGGATCGTACTAATTTTAGCGTCCATAGCACACATAATATTTTCTGTCATCTTTTCCATTGCCATTAACAAGTTCGGCTCCATTTTGTCGGCTGAGGTGCAGGCCTCCATGATAATATTCTAGACATTCTCAAAAAAAGAAATCAGCCCTCCTGATAAGCTAGCAGGCACGTAAAAGGATAATTAAATGAAAATTTCTCAGAGCTCAATCGGGTTGCGTCAGAGCTCTACGGCACCATCTTTCTCTCTCCCCCGAGAAATTATGTTTGATTGGCTGTGTGTGGTTGATGCTGGTAGAGTAGAAGTCTGTTGGAAAAGACTGACAGGTCTTTGTTTGGGTGCATGAGGGCACTTTGAAACAGTGTTTGAAACTGTCTGAAACACTGCTTACCTTTGGGCTGTATTGGCTGAGTTTATAGCAGCAGTGATGAATAGTTTTCAGCTATGCTTACAATTTCATCTCAGCTTTATATTCAGATATAAATAAATTCACATATATTCGTGCTTCTGTTATGTGTCTGAACACAAATCATGTCTGATCAAGTGGACATCTAAAAACCAAAGGCTATTATTAAAATGTGATCAATAGTTCAAACAGTAGCACTTGTCAATTACAATACCAAGAGTTTCACATATCTAAAGAGTTTGCGTTAGATATATGTCTGACAAATGAATAAATGTAAATAAAAAAATATTTCATAGTCATGCTCAGAAAACATGTCTTTACAAATCCATCTCCTTACAGACTTGCTGGATGTCGTCTCTCTGGTCAGTGCTGTGAACATTTGTCTTCAGCACTCCAATCATCAAACTCCCATCTGAGAGAGCTGGACCTGAGTAACAATAACCTGCAGGATTCAGGATTGAATTTGCTCTCTACTGGATTAAAGAGTTCACATTGTCAACTGAACATATTGAGGTACGACTTTCATATTGACTAATTCACTATGTTGAAATATATTAAAGAATAGGTGCTTTTTAGGTGTGTAATTGTTTAGCTCTCTGAGGTTGGTGAACATGCTGTCGCATTCAATTGTATTTTTTCCTGATAAAGGCAAAAAAAACGTATTTTTGGTCATGTAGATAAGAGTAATACATCATTGGAAACTGTACTTTTATTTGTATAAACTCACATGAACACCAAAACACTGCTTTTTTAAAATAATATTTTTTTTAAAATGGTGCGCTTTCACATGATGTTTGTGCACTTCTTTCTGAAACGCGTCACAATAATGAACCAAAACTCACGAAAACTTGACACTCAGACATGAGCGATGTCTGTAGAAAGCTTGCCTACTAAAGTGTACATTTAAATGAAGTAATTAATATGGAAAAAATTATAATTCCCTGACAAAGTAATCCATATGAAACCTATGCAAGGTACAGTTTTTCCCATCTGAGCTCGTTATCTGTAATGTGGTCACATCCACGTGCTGTGCGGGCTATTCATATGGTAATCATCCACGTGAGCCACACGAACATGTGAAAGGCCAAATCACCTCGATAAACAAAGCAGCAAGCTTCATCAACTTCATCTAGGCTACTTTTTGTTTTTGGAAGAAGACACGCTGTGAAGAATAAGCCTTGTATTTACCTCAGAAGAAGAATTTGATGCAACATGCGTTTTGATCCAGCAAACTGGTTTCTGATGAGTTCGTCATTTTTCTTATTTGCATTAGTTGACATGTTATTGTGACATAAACTTGTACACATTTTACTAGTTGGACTTTTCCCAAACTATAATTCCAGACTAAAATGTGTGAAATTTTACATTTTGAAATATGATTCATTGCATCTAATGTCGTATGACGCAAGGATGTATTTATGCTATATAATATAAAACAATACTATATAAAAGTATGAGTGTTTACACTGTAACATGTTTTATGTTATATTGTAAGAATGTTTAGACCAGTTTTTACTGTGAAATAGTCTGTTCGCAAATATTTGCTCCAAAGTAGATGTTTATAACATGCTTAACAATAATTTAGTTTCTCAGATATAAAATGTTCTTTTTGTACTCTATGATAGTACATACAAAGCATGTGTGCATCTATGACTACAAAATCATGTTTTCTGTTCAGTTCATGGAAACAAGCAGCAAACACCTTGGAGATACCAAGTTTGGTTTATTTTTTCAACAGAAACGGGATATGTTTCCAGGAATGGCACAAAGGTGTGACTGTTCAAGTCTTTGACCTTCATTATATACATTTTGATTATATTGTATTTTTAAATACAATTTTAAAACCCATTATTTTAATCTCCTCACATTCTTTCTTACCTGCCTCACAGTCACATTCCAAAAATTCTAGTCAACAACATCCGGTACTCAAATGTCTTGTGAACAAATGTTGTGTATGTTTTATGGCCTTATTTCATTGAATGAAAAATATAGTTTATTTTTTTCACTAACCATGCATAAACTTTATTTTCTCAAAAACACAAACATGTTCATACATGCCGCTCACATATTATTGTAGCACAGTTTGTTCTGAATACAGTGTAATCAGATTTTAGCCATTAATGTTAGAAACTGCACATAAAGTGTCCTTCCTGTTCTTGTCCCCATTTAGTTCTATTAGTCCCAGGTGGCAAGCCCGTCGGACGTTCAGGTGGCAAGCCCACCGGCGGTTCCTGTGGCAAGCCCGCCGGACGTTCATGTGGCACTCGCTCCAGTGTCGGCTGAAGCCCCAGAGCTCGCTCCAGTGTCGGCTCCAGCCCCAGAGCTCACTCCAGTGCTTTGTATTGTCATTGCTCTTATTTGTACTTAGAATAATAGCCATTGGCTAAGAAGAAACTTTTGTAATTTGTCAATAAAGCAGACTTCATTCCGGCCATTGCTTCTCAGTCTACTCTTTTTATCTTGGGGTTCAATGAGACCTGGATTCGTCCAGAAGACTCGGCAACCCCTGCTGCTCTCTCTAACAACATCTCTTTCTCTTACACCCCCGTCAGGTTGGAAGGGACGTAGTACTTTAAGGGTATGTCAGTATGTTGTCGGTGATACTACCATTTTTGTATGTGTCTAACATCATTTTATATTTTCAGCTTTGGATTCTGATTCTTTTTTTGGGTGGGGGGGCTGTAGAAAAATTTTGACATGCCCTGACATTGCTGCTTTTTTCATGGCCATGACTAATGATATAATTCACACCTTAGAGACAAAGGGCCCTCCCCTAATGGCCAATCAGTGTGACTGTGACTGTGAGGCAGGTAAGAAAAAATGTGAGGAGATTAAAATATTTTTTTTTTATTATTATTTTTTTTAAACACAGAGCCTTGAACAGTCACACACCTTTGTGCCATTCCTGGAAACAGATCCTGTTCAACTGTTGAAACAATTAAACCATACCTGGTATTTTTCAAGGTGTTTGCTGCTTCTATCCATGCACTGAATAAAAAACAGCCCCACCATCAGTAGTCAGCAATGGAGCTTATTTTGCCATATTCACTTAGAAAATCAGCCCAGTGTAGTTGAACAGCTTGCTGATGTTGGTACAGTGCTCACAGAGAAAAACATTTTGAAGAGACTAATGTGAAAGTAAGCAGGTTTGTAACAATGTGGTTGTGAAACACACACAATGATGAGGATGAAGATCAAATAACAGTCTCTAATAATCCGAACAGGGTAAATCCACCAGTAAATCCACCAACGAGCAAAAAAGCAACACAACCATAGCACATACGAGACCCAACAATAAAACTCAAACAAAACAGGACGCAAGTAGTAGAGATAATGAGATGATAGATTAGTGTACAGCTGAAACTGAGTGTCCATGATAACAAACTAACTAAGGGAAAATAGTAGACTGAAAACAAAAGTCCATGGTGTGTGAGAGTGTGACAGAATGCCCCCTCCCGGATAGTACATCCTCACATTGTGGTGATGAGGAGATGGGAAAGGGATGGCACACACAGGCAGAGGAATGCAGAGGGAGGCTTTGGCAGAGGACAGACGACCGGTAGATTGCAGAACCAAAAAAAATCCAGGGTGGTGATGATGGAGGTGAAAACCAGTGGATAGCCTTAAGCAGAGGCAGGTGGCAGATGATCCAGACCACAGCCAAGACTGCGCCCCACACCAGCGTTGCTGGAGGGAGGAGCCATGACGGTGGAGGTTATAACAGCGCCATGAAGACGAGCGCAGGCAACAATGACTTGTCAGGTGGAGCCCACCGTGCAGACGTAGAGCCGAGGAAGTGATGTGACGCCGATGACCTGGGTGGCTGTGACGGAGCTGCAGAAAGATGGAAGTGGGGATCCGGAGGGCAGAGGACGAACTGGAGCGACCGAGGGTGGAGGTGGAGCCTGAGGGAAGGTGGAATGAGCTGAAGATGAAGGGGTGGAGGGCCGGAGAGTAGCGGATGGCCCGCAAGTCCCCAACTAAGGTGTGGCGAGGTCTGAACCAGGGGAAGGCTACGAACTGAGAGATCATTAAAAAATGCAACTGAACATATTCCCCGAACTCGGAGGGTTAAGACAGCTTTTTTTGCAAATGATTCTGTCTTTAATTTATTCTTACATTTGGTTTTGTGTGTGTATAAGAATCATGGGCTGTGTATTGTCACAATTCTACTTTTCATTTCCATGTACAGAATACAAAAAAACTCCAAACTCCGGTCCTGGAGGGCCCATGTCCTGCAAAGTGTAGCTCCATCCAGTTCCAAAACACCTGCCTGGAAGTTTCTATTAATTCTGAAGACCTCGATTAGCTGGTTCAAGTGTGTTAATCAGGGTTGGAGCTAAACTCTGCAGGGCAGTGGCCCTCCGGGAGCTGAATCTGACACCCCTGCACTATGTCACTCTCCGTTATAGACTCATTGGATGTGGTCTCTCTCATCGGCACTGTGAAAGTTTGTCTTCAGC